GTGAGGATTTATTCGTGTGCAGATTATAAGAAGTTATCAAATAGAAAATGTATACTTACAACAGAATTAAGCATGGCATAATGTATTAAATTCTTTTCATCGTAGCCCTCACTGACCTCATATGGAGAATCAAAATAGAAAAATTTAAATATCATTTGAATAATCTTGTAATTGTATCTTGAGTTCTCCAATGTTTTCCATTAAATAAATGTAAGTTCTCTACACTGATGCATTTAAGCACAGGGCTCACACAGATTTTACAAATGACTTTATTCCATTTTTGGATTAGTATTCTTTAAGATTCTCCAGAGAGAAGGATGACTTCAACTTTGCAATAAAGAAAGAGTATTGGATTGTATTCTGGGTAGTTTATCAGACTTAACATTGGCTTCACTTTAGTTAAATTATCTCTCTTACTTTGGGGTACAATAAACAATTCAGATATTAATCAAATACAGTATCATAGGCACAGGGAAATGAATACATTAAAAACAAAGCTGCACACCAACACAAACGCAAACCCATATAAATATGATTGACACCCAGGTTTCCCTGTTTAGTCTCATCCACACACATTCATACTGCTTCCACAGATAGTTAGCTCATAGGTGGAAAACCCAAATAAATGGTAATAGATGAGCAGAGATGATGAGGAGGAAAATCATCTTCCAAAGCTAATTTTTTAAATTTCTGCTCACTATATTTCACTATGTCTTGGACTTATAGTGTTGTTATTATACATTATGGAATGATTACCAATATGAATAACTGGAATGACAATTTAGTGAACAGTGATCAATTTTTATTATACAATGTACCTGAAAAAGAACTTTAGAAATCTGAATTGAATTCACATAAGATATGAAGAAGAAATATTAATTTTTGAATGTATCATGGAAACTCATGTCAAATTAAGAAGTCTGAAATTTTCCACAATGAGGAAATACCATTGGAGAAGTAGAATAAAGTATGAAGCTAGGCCTGGGCGTACGGGCTGTAGCCAGTGCTTAGAAATAGGAAGCAAGGTGTTTATGAGTTCAAGCCTGATTTGGTTCTAAAGTGAGTCCAAGTCCAGCTTGGAAAAACAAGTTAGACTCTATCACAAAGAATAGAGAAATGAAAACAATAAATATGTCCATGATAGGTCAGTGGTAATTGATTGACTTTGCATGAATGAGACCCCAGATTCAAAACTTATTACTGAAGAAAAAAACATAAAGAAATAAATTATAGGAAGAAAGGAAGGAAGGAAGGAAGGAAGGAAGGAAGGAAGGAAGAAAGGAAGGAAGGAAGGAGGGAAGGAAGGAGGCAGGGAGGGAGGGAGGGAAGGAAGTGTAGAGGAAACAAAAGCAGAAGGTAAAACATGTCATAGATAAGTTATATTACGTGAGGCTTCTCTATATAAATAATTACTAGGTTACACCAGTGCAGTTGGTATTATATAAAGTTAATAGGATTGTGCTATGTGCATATAATGTTAATGGGACCTTGTTTTCATTTTCATTTATTTTTCAGGTGCTAGTTCTATTTTTTTTCCTTAATGTTGTAAATCAGTAGATTCAGCAGATGAATAAAAAGATTATAAAATATTGAGGTTATTTTATCGTGATGATCCAGAGAGAAGGATGACTTCAACTTTGCAATAAGGAAAAGTTATTGGATTGTAGTCTGGATAGTTCATCAACGGCTGTCTGCATATTGGGGAAGCAGAGAACACAGGAACAACTCTGTCCAAGGCAGTGGACAGTTTGATATTGTCATTCTATCAGTGAAGGCCTCAGAGCATCCTATAGAGCTTTTGGTGTTGATTTATTGTAGAAAGACCAAGAAAACCCCACATCGTGTCTGATGCCCACAGATGATAACAATAATCATAGAAGTGTTCACATAGGAATAAATGTGGCCTATCCCCAGGCACATGCTGCCCTCAACCTCTTCCAGCCTCTTCTCATCTGGGGATCTAGTCACTTAGATTCCTGTTGCACCTTGCCTCCCCACAGTCACTGCCCATGTCAACCCTGTTTGGAAAATTTTCCAAATCACAGTCAGATGTTTTCTCACCAATCCTAGTTATCTAACATTCCAGTCAGACTGACAAACAATACCAACACTCACACATAGGTAAGTGAGAAGTACAGGTAAAGAAAACTTTGGAGTAGATTGTTATCCATGCTAGAATGATATTAGATTAAATCCCAAAATTCATTATTGTAACCACTTCAATAAAACAAGATTATGAAAATATGATAAAGAGGAATGTCAGGGCCCTCTAGTGGAGTTCATACTCTCATTAATAAAATAAGTTAAGAACGGAATCTAACAAAAACTTGAAGATAATTTTATTAGCGATTAGAAGACAAACAACCCAAGGGAGGTGAGCTGTAAATCTCAGAAGTTGTCCAAAAACAAATGGAGGAGTCTAGACAGACTAACTAGACTACAGTGGGTGAACTTGCACCAAGGGAATTCTGGATACAAATGCTTGACCAGATAGGACTTAACATATATGACAGAATACCTGAAATCTTGTTTTGTGGGGGAAGAGGGTCCCTAATTTGATTACCATATATTCTATGAAGTGCACCAAAACTCAATAAAAACAGTGGGAAAAAAAGAGAATGGAGGAGTAAAGGAAAATATCATGTAGTTTTAAGCCAGTATGGAGTACAGACACATGACAGACTAGTAAAGTTGGGAAGGGATCTTTAGAGAAAGAGTAAGGAAACCTGAAATGTTAAGGAAGCCTGCAACATGCTTCAAAAAGAGATAGAGAGAACAAAGGAGGCATTAACTTTTCTAAAGAAGTTAGAAAGGTAGGCAGACTTATGAAGCTGTGAGCCCATGATACCAGTAAGATATTACACTAGGTAGGGATTATGGGAAGGAAAAGCACACTGTCTCATTAAATATCTAATTATTATGCCAGTCTTCTGCATGGCCTCACAGGAACTGACCTTCCAGTCTAACTGAAAGGTTAGGTCTCCACCAAAACCAGATTCTATTTTCTTTATCAAAAGTGCTTTTCTCTCAATTTGCTTTAATTGCCAGTGTAAAACCATTAAACCATTGACCTTCTTATATAAGAAATACATGAATTGTTAAAAGTGACTCCACAGAAGAAATGAAAAGTCTGATTAAATTCCAAGAAACTTAGTGGACTACTCCCTACCTCCTTTAATTGTTATCTTTATTTCACAAATACCGACCAGATATAATGCAATATTTTCTACAAACACGACTGTGACTCATCATTTTGAAAATAATCCCAAAACTTTCATAGGAGTCTATGGCTGTGGGATCTCAATCGAGGACAAACATGGCAGCAAGAAAGTACACTATGGACACTAAATGTTCAGAACATATTTTATGTAAAAGAACATTAAAGAATGTGCTATACATATATCCAAAAATATATGTTTCAAATTTTTATATTTGGGATTTTTAACTGAGAGAATGAAGAGCAGGTGAGATATAGAACCGCTATTCTCTGACACCCCCTTCCACATGTTTACTTATATAATAGTATTTGGGCAATGTAGTTGACATAGGTAACTGTTGTATGAATATCTCTACATTTTAGAGAATAAAAAACTCTAGAGTCCATACCCCTGGATAGGTCTCCTATACTAAGCCTCACCCACCCATGGCTCAGGAGCCATTGTGGAAGAGGGGACAGAAAGATTGTAAAAGCTAGGAACATAAGGAAACAGAGCCTTTCAGGTGTCTGGGAACTTGCTCATATGAAGTTCCAGCAATGGTGACAGCATTTACAAGACCCATGTTGACTCAGTCAGGTAATACCAAGCATAGAATATCAAAAACGGCAGCAGAGCCCAACCATAGCCAAGGAAGTATTAGCAAAGGATTACTGTGGGGTGAGGGAGAGTAGATCTTCTTTTAAGGACTGACTCTAGATGGACTGACTAGACTCCAGTAAATGAACTTGCACTGAGGGGCATCAGGATACAAATGCTTGACACTTGACTGGATAGGACTTAACATATATGACAAAATACCTTAAATTAGGTGGGGAAGGGGCTATGGGAGTCGGGGGAGAGAAGGGGCTATAAAATGTATGAATTGAGAGGCTAATTCTGAGAGAAATAAGGTGGTTGAAAATGAGGTTCTCTTCAGCCTCAGAGATAAAACAAAGGCCTCCCTAATAATGTGTTATTGCTCCTTTGTCTTTTGAGATTTAAGACTCCTTCAAATGGAGTGGCAATCTCTTGCTCTACAACCCCAATTTTTTTTCTAACACAGGGACCCCTGAAGATAGACATGGGGAGAGGGTCACTGAATCCTTTTGTTCCTCTTCTGTGTGGCTACATAGAATAAATTTCCGTTTTGCTTTTCCCTATTGATTTGGCTCTTTACTGTGCTAACCTGGCTTATTAGAACACAAGCTACCATTTCCAACATTGGTAACAATAGTTTTCATAGGGAGGAGTACAAAATCAAGGACCCCATGGAATATCCAGTGTCTCTTCACCGCTCATTTCAAAGTTTACAAACAGCCACACTTAATGTCTTCATATAGCATGAAGGATCAGCAAGCTTTCTTATAATAACATAAATACCATTCCTGATAACTGCAAATTTGGGCTTTTATCATTCCTAAATGGTTTTTATCCCTATTCCAATTCTTTGGGGTTTAGAATCGCTGCAGAAGGAGAAAATTACAGTAGTTATGTGCATAAGTCATCATTTAAAAAAGGTTGTTAGTTTAGAAAATATAGTCTGGTACTAAAATGTAACTTTTTTTACATTAATTAATAACCTTTCTGAATTTTGTTCTAGTCTGATGCCATCTGAAAAAAAGAGCAAAATATACTAAAGAAATAATGGAATTATGGCACATTAAGTGTGTAAGACAGTGTATTATTATTATTAGAGTGAAGTACAATTTAGAAATTAAGACATAGAACATTACTGACTGTCTTCCATTGTGTAGTATAAAAAGAAACTCCAATATAAACCTGCTGTCTATGAAAGAAATTTCCTTAAAAACACCATTTATTTTTCAGTTTGACCAAGGCCTCTTTCACATCCTTGTTCCTCAGACTGTAAATTAGAGGATTCATCATAGGGATAATCAGAAGATAAAACAGTGAGGTCATTTTGTCTTGATCTAGAGAATAAGAAGAACTTGGTCGGAAATACATGAAGAGCATGGTTCCCTGGAAAATCCCAAGTGCAGTTAGGTGGGAGGCACAGGTGGAGAAAGCTTTCAAGCGACCCCCAGCAGAGCTGATCTTTAAGACTGATAAGATGATGTAGCAGTAGGAGACAAGGACTCCTGAGATGGTGCTCACCTCAATGAAACCAAAAAGGGTGAATAAAACCAGTTCATTGACCTGTGTGTCAGAACAGGAAAGGAGGTAAAGTGGAGGCAAATCACAGAAGAAATGATTGATCTGAGTAGAGCCACAAAAACATAAGCTGGATGTCAGTGCTACCTCAATGGAACTTTCTATAGTTGATGCAATATAAATTCCAGTTAAGAATTGGTAGCATACCACATTGGACATATCCACTGTGTACATCAGGGGGTTACTAATGGCCTTGTACCTGTCAAAGGCCATCACTGCTAGCACAAGACACTCACCATCTATAAAGATGCAGACAATTAAGAGTTGCAGAAAGCAGCCCACAAAGGAAATAGGATTGTTGTCTGTAAGTAGGCCAACCAGCATCTTGGGTCCAACTGCAGTGGAGTAGCAGAGGTCAGACAAAGAGAGTTGGCAGAGGAAGAAGTACATGGGTGTGTGAAGCTTGGGATCCATTCTGATCAAAACGATCATTCCAATATTAGTCAGCAGACTAGCAAGATAAACACATAGAAACACAGCAAATAAAATAGCTTTCACATCAGGGATGTTAGTAATTCCCAGTAGAAAGAATTCTGGTAATGAAGAACAGTTTTCCTTGTGCATTCTTCTTTTTTCTTGATCTGTACAGTTATAAAAATGCTATGTTAGATTAGTGTTTTTATTAACTATTAACTACATGGATATATTTTCTAGAAGGCCGAACATAACATCATTTTTGTGTAGTGTACTAATTCCACGAAGTAAAATAAGAAACTGCCCAGATAATGATTATGTTTAATATGACATAGTCATTAAAATACATTGTGAAGTAAATGGATGATGCACTTGAATTAAAAATATAGATATACCTCAGGACTTCCTGACATGTCTTGATCTCCATTACTCATCATTAGGCAATGTATTTTCATAAAATAAAAGTTGGTCCATAGGACCAGAGAACATGAGGAAATACCAATTTAGCTTATAAAGTCATACAACACATCACATACACATAAGCAAAAGGATCATATGTATAATAATTTATTACTTTTATTACATCCACTGTACTGCATGTTACAGAATAACTGTGAAACACAACTTATCGAACAAAAGAATAATAAAAGTTATTCTGAAACTGTTTGGGGTTTTATAGAATTTGCTAAAAAATTAAACAATTTATTTCAAAGTTCTATCACTCACCACCAGTCTCCAAGCTTTCCTGACTCATTTTTATTACTCAATCCAAATTGTGTATTCCTTGAGAATCAAAGGGGAAAGACAAAAAGCATTAGAAACAACAGATTACACCAAATACCATGGATGACTTTTTAGACAGCAAGTTGTCCTTTTCAAGTAAGCAAAAGTGGCAAAAGAAATAGAAAAGAATTTAGTTATGAAACCTGGTTCTGTTTTTTACATGAGAGGTGTCTGTATATAACATGGGACATCTGTATCCCCTTTTGTTGTTATGTGAGAAGAAAGATGTAGTTTGTGATATAAATCTCAAAATATCATGGCTATTGTTATATATGGGACATGCATTATCTTAAAATAACTATATGTAATTTGCAACATTATTATTATTTCCATGAAAAAAATTCAGTCATCTGTACCACATCACACATATGGAGATTTGGAAAAAAAGTAGTTATGTATGTGTTATAATAATTGCAAAAACATTAGACATATTTATAAACCCTATACAAGACAAATAAGTATGGTCATATTCACAAATGTCTAACAAGAAAATCCCTCTGGTCACTGGGTAACAGCATGTATGCAGCTGCCCACAAGGTTAATCCACCTACTCATTCATAACTCAACTGCAATGTTCATGTGTCCAAAGAAATATTTTATCTTTCTTCTGTTTCTACAAATTATCATTCATAAATGTACCTGAGATGAGGGACTATGTCTCTCCTTACCTCTATTACCCGAAAAACAGGTTGACTGTATTTATTTTCTATAAGTACTATTGAGATTTAATTCTCTTGAGACTCAGCCTTCTTCTTTCATGCTGTTCTAACAGGAATAATTAAATTCCTCACTCAGTATTTTTTCCATGGGAGTAGTCAGCCATTCACCCATGCTGCCATCATCACAGTGCTCCCAACTCCCTATTGATGGATGTCAGGTCTTATCCAGGATTTCTAGTGGGGATGTGGAATGAAATGGAAATTGATTTGCTCAGTGATACTCATATCCGTCATTGTTCACCTCGATTCCTCCTTTCCTTAGACAATCTTCTCCATCACAATTTCCAATAAACACTGAACTTACAATCCGCTTTTGTCATCATTCTCTGACTGTAGCTCCATCTCCATAGCAAACATTCTCCTCAACATCAACTACATTTCTTAATATTTCTTCATTCTGGTCATAAAAATTCCTCTTTTCCTTTCCAATAATCCCTGAGTAAGTATGAGTAAGTATTGAGTCATTGTATAAATGTGGGTAAAAGCTTACAGGTTCCAAGTTTCATGGATGTTCAACAAAAAACATTGTAATGAATTTGGAAGTTAGATCTGTTTTGACAAATATATGTTCAAAACTGTGCATAAGGAAACTCTTTAAAGGAAAAGTCAAATGCTGTATACATTTCTACAGTATGTTATTATAGTGGCTCTTTAATTACTACAAATTTTTAAAGAAGGAATTTTGCATGCAATCCAAATTCTATGTTTGTCCAAATATAGAATTCACCCTTTCCTCAATATGACAGTAAGGTTTTACTCTTTGACTTCCTCAGTCTTTTATTCAGACAGAGTTAATCTTTTATTTAACCATTCAAACCATAAAATGCCTCTACTATGCATTCTACAAATGTGTGTTTGAAGTGTCTACTCAGCAGTGGAATATTGAGAGCAAAATCTTTATATTTAATTTTATGTCATTATGGGCATATTGCTAAAGGTTATAGGTTTGCACATAAATTGATACTCTGTATTTGATCTCCATGTATATTGCAAATTCAAATACTTTTTTCTAACAATAACAATATTATATAGAAAGAAAATGTTATATGAAAAGTAACAGAAAGCTTCTTGAGTCCCGTGAACTTCATGTTTGTCTGACTGCAAAGTACCTGCTTTTCAGAGATTTCGGAATAACATGTAATGGAGTAAAAAGTCTCTTATCCAACTAACGATTCTATTAGTAGTAACAGTAATAACATTACTATTATTTGCTAACTATAATAAAATATTTTAGTTTGCCTTTTTAAATTTAAAGATAAACACCCAGTTATCGACATCATCTAAAATAGCTAAGAAAATGAGAAGTTCATCCTAGTGTCCTGAATATAGGAGCCCCAGTACTCAAGGAAGTCACAGGGCAGACTGCGAGATGAAACAATTTTGTCACCTGATAAATTGAAACAATAATAGATATATAATACAAACTAACCCTTATTCAGTTATATTCCATTAACCTTGGTTGTAGAGATTCAACTGCAAATGTATCACCTAGTACTGGGCATCTCTCAGGTGTATGTTCTCTGTTCCTGACCAGATGTGCAACTCTGCAGTAGCCTCTATCTGTTGCATAAAGACGCTTCTTTGATGAGTTGTGTATGGCATGCTTGTCACTCTAAGCGAGGTCTCTTCTGATAGTGCATTCCCTACACAGCAGCTTCTAGGTATAGATATGCATTAATGTTCAGACACTCTATGTGCATTTCTCATAGGGTTTCTAGGGCATCACTTTTCCTTATAGCATCTATTATTGTAATCAGAAGTTCATGGAATTATGTATTCTAACTGGATTTTTATTATATTTTTCTGATCATATATGTTCATCTTATGATTTTAAGTGATTTTATTTATTTATTCACTTAATCATTTATTTGTATATGTATCTCCTGCTTGTCTGTATATATACCACATGTGCCCATTCTTATTCTTTTTTTAATTTGTTTTTATTGAATTTTTGTGTATTTCATAAAAAGTCTCAATAATCTTTATACCTGTATTAGTCAGGGTTCTCCAAAGAAACAGAACCAGTAGAATGATCCGTAGTCACTCAGTCCACAAGGCTGGATGGCTCAGTAGTCCCAATCTGGCACTGAAGGTGTGACAAATTTCATAAGATCAGCTATTCTTCAGTCTACAGCAGCAAGATGAACGCACCAGCGAGAGGGAAGGCAAGCAGCAAGAAGCCTGGTGTTCTCCTCTGCTCTGGTCTTTTACTTGCTGCCATCAGAAGGTAACACCCACATTTAGGGTGTGTCTTCTGGCTTTAGATGATCCAATCAAGAAGATCTCTTTCATTTCAGTTAATCTCAGATCCAATCAAGTTGACACCCAGGATTAGCCATCACAATACCTGTCTTTGTTTTTAAAAAAACATGGTTTCTGATAACATTTAAAGAAAGATTCTATTTATTTTCATTCTCATGTCATTATCTTTTTCTGTAATGTTTTTAATTGGACTTTTAAAACTTCATACATTTCCCAATAAAATTCAGTCCCCCTTCACCATCTATGCCTTCCCATATCACCCCACCAAACCCTCAGCTCTCCACCCTACATGCTGAGTCCTATTCATTCATGTCTTTGTAACTAAATGTCCTTCACTGTAAATGCATCCACTGGTGTCTAATCAGCCCATCCAGCGTTCATATGTAAATCATGCTCTCCCTCACCCAGCAGCCATCTCAAATACTTCTCCATCTAGTGCTCCCAGCTACGTATTTCTCACATCCCCTTTGGGCCCTTCTTTAATCGAGCTGACACAGGTCTCCCATTCGATGTCACCACTGCTACAGGTTACATGAGTAAGCCACCAGTAGCCTGGAAGCCTCAACCTCCTTATATTCATGAACCAGCCCTGGCTTTTACAATCTTTTGTCTCCTCTTCTGCAATGGTCCATTGTACCTGAGTCATGGGTGAGTGAGGTTCCATATAGGAGTCCCATCCTATATTCTACAATCTTTTATTCTCCAAAACTTGGTCAGATGTGGCCTACTGTGTGTATTGCACTCTGTTGTACATTGAAGCCTCACTGGTGAGATTTGAGGGTACATTAACCCTCTCTCTACCCCTTATGTTCCATGAGCTTTGGTTGTAGAGATTTGACTGCAGATGTGTCACGTAGTACTGGGCATCTTCCAGGTATATGTTCTCTGATTCTTACCGGATGTGCAACTCTGTGGTAGCCTCGACCTGTTGCAAAAAGAAGCTTCTTTGATAGGTGCTGCACTGCTTGCTTGTCATTCTGAGGGAAGTCTCTTCTATCAGACACTGCGTTCCTTACCAATCAGCTCCTAGGTATAGATATGCATTAATGTTCACACACTATGTGCATTTCTCTTAGGGTTTCTAGGGCATCATTTTTCCTTATAGCATCTATTATTGTAATCAGAAGTTCATGGAATTAGGTATTCTAACTGCACTACAGAATCTCCATTTTTTTCTCTAAATATAATGGAAATAGATGTTAAATAATTAGTATTAGATATGAAGCGATTGGAAAGATTAAGGTGTTTATATGTTAGTTTGGACTGTGTTTATATAGAAAGTTAAGAAACTTTTTATAACTTGCTTATACAAGGCCATATTTGAATTATGAATGCTTCAAGAAGTATTTCTGAGGAGCCGGAGAGATAGCTCAGTGTTTAAAGGGCACT